AATCTGTACTTTCAAGTTCATTCATATTTCAGCTTTCACTCTCTGTTTAATAAAGAGTATTTTTTTTTATTGTTTCTTTCTTACTGTTTTTCTGAGTTGTTGGATTGTGATCAGGGAATGAAAATAGTGTTCTTCCAATTGATTTCCTTTTTCTATCTGCTGCTTTTGAGACTTAGTCTCTGTCATTGGGTTGTGAGAGACTTACAGCAATAGTAAAATGAGGCATGTTGAGTTTATTATTCTCTTTTCTAGGAACTTTGTATGCATCATAGAATGATTTGGGTTAGAAGAGACCTTAGTTTCAACCCCTCTGCCATGGGCAGAGAAACCTCCTGCTTAGGTTGCTCAAAGCCCCATCCAGCCTGGCCTTGGATACTTCCAGGGATAGAGCCTCCACCACCTCTCTGGGCAACCTGTTCCAGTATCTCACCACCCCCATAGTAAAGAGCTTCTTTCTAATGTCTAACCTAGATCTACCCTGCTCTAGTTTAACACCATTTCCCCTTGTCCTATCACCACATGTCCTCGTAAGAATCCCTTCCCAGCTTTCCTGTAGGCCCTCTTCAGGTGCTGGAAGGCCACTATAAGGTGTCCCCAGGGCCTTCTCTTTTCCAGACTGAATAGATCCAACTCTCTTAGCCTGTCCTCGTAGGAGAGGTGTTCCAGGCCTCTGATCATCTCTGTGGCCCTCCTCTCAACCCACCTTTAATGTTTCTTTACACTGTCCGTGAAAATACTTTTTCAATAAAGTTAGTGCGTCATCTGCACTTTTACATGGGCCCTATGAGTCTGAAGTGGTGTATTGTGCTATAGTTACTATGGAGGGCTTTTTTATTATTTCATTCATTCTACAAATTAATAAAACAAAAATGTTCCCCTTATTTTCCCATTTGATATTGAAATGCAGCACAGTTAAGAAAAAGCCTAACTGGAAAGCCAACATTTTGATTCTTGTTGATGGTACCTAGAAGTTTAAAATACCTTTTCTTGAGCATTTACTTAGTGTGAATTTCTTTCTCAGTGGCATCAGGCCATCTGTTTAATCTAAATAGGAAGCAATTGGGCACTGTTATTGTTTGCACCCTGTAGCCCCCAGGGATTCATGGGCAAAGGTGTGGGTCTTCACATAACAGGAAAAGTTTGAACGGGATTTTAGGTAGTGTATTGTGAAGAATTGTTTTTTGAGTTTAGTAGGCAATAAAAAACCCCAAACACCTGAAAGTTAACACAAAATGAAAATATTTCCAGTTTCTTTTCAGACAACACACCACAGGAGATTAGCTTTTTTACATTCATATTCAAAGCTTTGAATTTAAACTTATTGCTGCTCTAGTGTTTCTTTAAATAAAACATTTTGTAATAAAGTATATTGCACTTCAGAAAATATAATATGACTTCTCTAGTGTATTTGTTAGATATAGAACACTTCTCTCTACTGAGAAGTACTCAGTATTTCTATGAAAATATGTTGTCAGGAAGATAACAAGCATAAATCTGTTAGAACAAGAGGATTTCAGAGTTACTAAACCACAGTCGTCTCTTCCCTGTTCCTAATTTGGTTGTCTCCCAACTTGACCTTCTAGTTAGCCACAGCTGGCAGCACTGAAGGATATTGTATAATTCACTCAGGATGTGCTGATTCAGCCTTGTGAAATTCAACTTGAGAATTCAGAAAAAAATACAAAAGCAGAAGTTTTGAATGAAAAAACCAAAAAGCTTTCAGTTCATCTGCTATGAATTCTTTTTTCCAATCTGGCCAAAACGCATTCTTTGTAAAGAAAACCAGTCCTTAATACTGGATTTCATCACTTCTGGATCTTCTCAGCTCCCTTTGATCTAGTGTAAGGAGATGCTTCATAATCTACAATATATACACTTGCAGTAATTCCCTTTGGAATATGGATCACAGGCATTAATTTGGATCTACAGATAAGACAAGACAATATCTCTAGAATCATTAATAATAGATAGTCTCAAAAGGGATGTTTCCTGAGGCATAAAATAAATACATGAAGAAAATGAAAGTGACATTGACATAAACAATTGTCTCTTAGATTTGTGTTACAATAGTAACCTAAGGCAAAACTTAAGCATTTACAAAAATAGTTTAAATTCTACCTCTTCTGTCCGAACAAAAAAAGCTGCACAGCTACCCATCTGCTGTCTGCAAAATGTAGTCTTCTATATAGCATTGATCACCCTAATTCTGGAAACTGCTTAGCGATATTCTCATCCAAGTCTCTTCACAATTAAGGTATAATCACAAACCTTTTTTACTTTTCTATTTTCTTGTACTGTCTTCTCACTTTGTCTTGCACAGGATGAGAATTAATTTCCTCCTTTAAACATGAGCCAAGTTCCATTCAAATGTTGTCAGAAATAATATTAATAAAAATGATGGTTTAGGATTCCATTTTATTACTGCTTAGTGACTTCCATATCAAATATACTGAGTGTACAAATCAAGGGATGTTTTTTTGGTTTTCCTAGCTTCTATCTTTGAAAAGTTATCCTGGCATCTGCTAATTAATCTTTCCTGTGTCTGTGACCTACATTATCATCATCAGTAATGATGTTCAATGTTCCAAAGTTTTTTCTTGGTTTTGGTAGAGATGCAAGAAAGCTGAGATACAAAATGTTCATTTGCCTTTTAAGTGAAATCCTATTGCTGTCATGTGGGTGTATAATTGCCCAGCATGCAAATTTCACATCTTTTTTGGAAGCATGTGGTTCTTGGCAGTATTGGAGAGACAACAGCAGATAAGATGGGGCTCTATTTTGTCAATCCTTCCTTTGTTTCTAAGCTAACCAAATACCCTCCAGCCTGCAGAAAGAATTGGAAAGAATACTATACTTTGTGAAGTATATATATTTTTGTTGATTTCAAACACACATGTAAAGTTGTACAGCAGTCAAGATCAAGGAAGGGTGGCTGAAAAAGTTTGTGGTGTTGTGGGGGTACTTTGTTTGATTTATGGTGGTGTGGGGGTACTTTGATTTAAGCAGCCTTTGCCCACCCACTTATTCTCTCTTCTGTACCCCTCAGTGTGACTGTGGCACAGCATCAGGCTCTGAACTGAATCAAGGAACTGATGCAAACTTCAAAAAGAAACAGAGAAGGATAGTGAATGGTTGAGAAAAAACTAAAAGGCAGGTCAGGGGCTGCTTAAGCAAGCAAAACTGCAGGGAAAGATGCTCGTTAAAACATGGTTTGACTGACTGACAATTGATTAGGGGCTTCATAGGTTGTGAGCTTTTACTTATATACCTATTTCCCTCTATAGTCATACCTGTAACTGAGCAAGTTATTTCTGAACTCCTCATTTGCCTAGGTTATTAATTTCATTTTTACTTTCACTTAGGTTATTAAATTCTTTAACGTTATACAGTATTCTTAGTTGGGGAAGTTTTAGAGTGACAGCTGTGTTTTGGATTTTGTGTTAATGAATGAGATTATTAAGTTATTTAAATAGATCTTGTTAAAATGTTATGGGCAGCTAGTTATATGAAAAAAAAGAAGACCTTTAACGTCAACATAATGTCTTAAACTTGAAATCTAATAACTGCTTTGTTCGAGTATTAAGACTGCAGCTTCCTTGCTCTGGCAGATCTCTGCTGGCGGATTACTACTTCACTATGGAGACAATGTGTTATTAAAAATTCATATTTTTTTTATAAAAAACAAACAAAACAGATTTTTGTTTTTCAGAACTGTATTACATAGGAAAGAAAGGGTAGAGGGGAAAGTACTGAGAAATAGTGCAGGAGAATTAAGGAAAACCACTGATCAGAAATAAGACTGGAAGAGAAAAAGTAGTAGAAGAGAGAGAGTGGGATAATAACAAGGGTATGAACTGCCTAAAATACCTGTAAAGGAATCTTTTGTAATTAAAAGTGCATGTAATAATTGCAAATACAAACTAAAAAATTTAAATAATGTGTAGATACTGAGAAAAATGCTTCTGAATTCTCTTTCTGTTCCTCTCATACAATCAACAGTCTGTCTTGATATTTTAGGACAGACATGTCAAACCTAATGATGCTGCAAAGAGCTGGAAAATTATTTTATTGAGCGCAATTCAAACTTGATTGGTGTTTGTATGTGGCTTGTTCATGATGCTGGTGAACTAGGTGTGACTATCCAGGAGGCATCACCCCCAAAAAAGCAATTTTTGTTCCAAGATGTGTTGTGGAAAGATCAGCACAAATCTGTTTTGAATGACCTTAGTTAATGACAGGTCTTCTAAAATCTCTGTAATTTCTAGTTGTGAGGTAATATTTTGCTCTCCTGTGATAGGAAAATGCTGAACAAAATGTGAATTTTATCCTGATTTATCATGGATAAACTTTTTATAAGATCTTTTTATAAGTTCAGTCCACTTTTCTTTGAGACATGAGAGCTGGAAAGTCTCTCTCAGAATCACCTTTGATAAGAACTGAGAAAGAGAAAGTACTTATGTATTGAGTCTACATCCAGGGCCAGATTTAGATCGAAAATTATGTTTAGGACAAGAAATAAGTGTCGATCTTCATCAGTAGCATCATCTTCCCTGTTTCTGTTCCCAAAGATATGTTAGTGTAGCTTGGTCATGCACTCTGTGTGCTTGTCAAATTGGACCCTAAATTGCTACATGAAGAGTGTGTATCAGCACTATCTGTGCAAATGCACATTGAGTATTGAATATTCTTAGCACTTGATTTAGAAGTGCTCCCTCTGGAGTTTTTCCTTGGTGCCAATAAAGCGACCTATTTAGAGCTATTGGCTCTGCTCCACCATTTTCTTGTTAAATGTTTAGAATTTGTTAGTGTTGTGACCCTTTTGCCAATGCAAGTAATCCTAATTCCAGCAATTTACACTTGTCACTTTGCTTTAAACTCCATTACTGCACACTGAAATCCTACACAAAATGGCTTCAAGACCATTTAACAAATAACAAATTGGGGATAGAGAGATTTTGTCCTTTATGTCACAATTAATTATTGATTGGGATTTTGCGTTTATGTTGCAGAACTGTGACCTGGCCCAGCAGAGTATTGTTCATATCGTTCAGAGTCCAGAGAAGAACAGTCAGAACAAGGATGAGACTGAAGATAACTGTGCTGGAGGTATTCTAAAAGCCTTGGAAAGAGAACCTGAAAGTTTAACTCGCATAGATCTCAGTACCAGCATCCTCCCATCACTCTCTGCAGGGTTGGCTGTTATTCTGGATACTACAAAAACCAGCATTTCTCTTCCCTCTGAAAAATCAGGTAAATTATTGATTTGGTACATTTCAATACACAGATGTGAACAATTGTCTGTTTCTTTCTTAGGGCAAACAGTTCTATACTACAGGAAAAAAAAAACAAAACAAAACAAACAGCATATGGTTTCTTTTAGTTATTAAACAAAAAATGCAGTGTTACTAGAGGTGATAAGCATCTGATGTATTTTCTAGCAGAACAATTTTGCTTTGTGGTTAAATGAAGTGTTGTTCCTGTCTCTAACTTGTGCTATGCTAATATTTTTACAAATTATTATAAGCTGACAGAAAAAAAGAGGTCTATGAGGAGGCAAAAAATAGTCTGTGTAATATTTCAATTACAGAAGTTTCCTTAACTAGAATGTTAGGGCAGCTTATGCATTGCAAATGTGTTCAGTTCCCAATCTGTTGTAATGTTTTCCTACCCATATATTTTGTAAAAAATATATCTGTATTTATTATTTATAAAAACATACACAAAATATGATGATTCATACTCTGGATTTTAGTAGTTCTTCATCCACCAAATTATTGCTGAAAATATCTTCTCTTCATCATGAAAAATCATCTGAGGCATAAGTTAAGTTACTGCAAATGGGTTGTGCTGCAATATTTAAAATTGCTCCTCAGAGAGAAGCTCAAGTCAGAAGGATTTATAAGAATCTTTTAGCTATCACATGCATCTCCTCAGAGTAACCCCCTCCTCACACACTGTCTAGCTAACCCTTAGGGACAGCTGTGTTATGGACCATTCTGCGCGATACCGGATTCTGTCATGACAGTCAATCAGACCTGTCTATTTAGAGAGAAAAGTACACAGATACCCTTTATACACAGTACAGAAGATAATATCGAACATATAAATCCAGAGTACAGGATATGACAGAGATGCCTCTGTGACTAACCTGATCACGCTTAACCAAAAGGCTACTAAAGTGGTTTCTTAAGTAACTCAGGCAGAAAATATACAGTTTGGGGGTGGGTCACAGAAGTGTTCCACAACTGACTTGATCAACCTCTCACTGCCAACTAATGATGAATGAGTGCAGTTTAGGAACAAATTAGTACCCGACTTAACGATCCACATCTCCGAATCTGCGTGAATAATGAGATAAAAGGGGCGCATGCTGATTTGTATCTGGTAAACTAGGGATGGGTTTTTGGGTTGGGCTTACTGTCAAAAGCAGGAAAATGGTGTGAGCTTTTTAATGCTACTCCTTATTTATTTTTCTGTTGCTATACATGATATGTACAGGGCTTTAATAGTTGTGCCTGAGTTTACAGAACAGTTAATACATGTGTAAGGACTTTGGTCATGTAGTATGTTTTTCCACATACTAGAAACTCTGTGAAGCCAAATACAGACTGATAGATGTGTTCTTTTGCAGCAAATATTTTTGTGGCATAATGACAACTGAGGAGAAAAATACTGAGACTATATGTCGACAAGTTTTAGTTGTGATAAAGTGAAACATTTTTTTCAACATGGAAAAAAAAAGAGCCACTCCAATGACTGACAGTTCTTCCTGGAAGGACTTTAGTAACAGGTACTTTATCTAAAGGCCTCTTTACCTTCTTCTTGGCTTGCCTTGACTCTCACTATAAAAACTTGTCTTTGGGCCTGCTCAGCCCCGCCACTTTAGTTCAATATAGGGGATTTTGATGTTTTTGTTATGAGGATTTGGGGCAGGCTAATTTGTAGTCTGTAATTCACTGATTTAAAGAGTAGTTTGGGTTAAAAATAATGCAAAAAGAAAAGAAAATAATCCAGAAATCAGTTTTTCCATTCAACTTTACTGTGTAGCAAGGATTTTCTTTCACACAGCTGAAAGGAATAATAGTAGGGGGAATGAGTGGCTGAAGACTGCATATGCCACCACTGCCACTACAAATTATTTTTATCAAGCTATTCTCTTAGAAGGTGGATAGATGCTCTGGTGGTCAGTCTGCAGGAGAAACATATACAGTTGAACCAAGTATAAACTATTTTTCTGTATGTGAGAGATCAAACACAATGAGTAGAGGACAAATTTAAAGGCAGAGGATTCATTGGTTGATTATTATTTAGTCTACTATGCAACACAGCTATTCCATAATTGTAGCATTAAACACTAAGAGACTTCGTCTCTTTCTAAATGTAAATTATTTCTGTTAGCAGAGGATGCTGACCTTCTTTCCTTGCCCTGCTCTTGTTTTATTTGCCCTCCTTTGAATTCTGAGGAAAAGGTGGTAACTTTTTCGTCACAAAAGCTTATCCCAGAAGCTTTTGCAGCTTCTGACTGCAAAAGTAGTATTTTTGAAGTTTTGCCTTGAATGCTTGGAGGTCAGACTGCAGAATTTTACTAGACAATCCAGGAGAGAGACAACTCCTGTTATATTGTACTGTTGTAGTAATATAAACCTCTGCACTTGGTCAGAAAAACCCCTCATAGCCCAACATCCTATCTCCAGTAAGGGACATTATTTGCTCCTTGCAGAGGAGCGTAACAGGACATCCTCCTCCTACCTCACTCTGAATTTAGTGGTGAGTAATGGAAGCAACTTTTGACTGATCTGGAGAGCCATCTCACTCGCACTGTGTTTTTAATGTACAATGTGTATCCGTCCATGAGAAATTCAGAAGTTTGACAGGCTGAAAAAAAATATGAAAAGGGATCTAATTAATCTCTGCATCAAAGATTTCCAGATTTCCTCTCTTTGCAGGTAGAGGTAATAAAAATGCCTTTTTCTGTCGCTAAGTAACACCTTGCATGATTTCTAATGAACATGTGAAAAGGTCCTAGGGCAGGACTTTCACCCTACTTCACCCTCACAGAATTTACAGTCTGTCCAATATCAGGATAAAGTGCTTTGATAAACAAAACGTAAGCAAATAAACTGTGTTCCATAATCTTTACATATCAGTAAATATGTTTATTGTTCTCCTTTTTTATTTCTGTGAATCTGAAAAAATCTTATGGCTCATCAGCTGAATGTGAGAATGCATCATGATGGCAGGTCCAAGAAATCTAATAAGATCTTTGGAAGTGTAAACAGAAAACAGAGTGAAGTATGTTTTTCCTCTGGTTTTGACACTTGCATTTTGATGTCTAGACTATAAGAAAGCTGCTGAAAAAACTGTCAGGAGGTTCAAGAGTCACAAGAATCCTACACAAGCGGAGGTCATGATTGACTTATATATGTTGGTATAATCTCCTTGCATCTATGGGAGTGGAAATTTGGCAACCAGGGAGTCTTAGATCTTACAAGCTATTTGGGTGTTTAAACTTTCATTGTCTAGCAATTGAAAACCAGCAAATATAAATACCACACAAATTTTAACTTGCCAGGAAATCAACAACAAATTGCAAGCTATCTTGGTTTATAAGAATTCTCCATATTTGGCCATTTAAAAATAAATATAGAACATTTTTTTCTGAAAAATATGTCCAGTAACAAATACTGGACTTCAACCTAGAAGTTATATGGACTGAACTAGGCAGGAGGTCAGACTACAGAATCACATCTTCCTTCTCTAAATGGAGTTATCAACTACCCATGTCAAGCAAATTAGTAATCTCAAAAAAAAACCCTAACAAGTTACTTCAGCAGCATCTCTTTTCTATAAGCTGATATTAATGTTGATACCAATTTAATTCCCAGTTATTCCATTATGAGCTGGTTTATTGTTTTGTCTGAATCATGTAGATGTGGCCATCGTTACCTAGGTCTTTTTCTTTACAACTTTGAAATAGTGCTTATCTTATCTGTTCCCTGGAGTTCTGATGTTCCTTAGCTAGCCTTTTAAAACTGCTTCCATAGTAGTTGACTCTGTCACCTTATCTTTACATCTTCCTATTTTTGCAGAAGAGTAAATAAGGTACTGGTATATAGTGATTTAAGTGTGCCAAGCTGTGCACTCTAGCAAAAAGTTAGGAAATGCTTTGTCAAAACTTAATATATGTTAAAATCTCCTCTCCTTACAAATAGCACAGCCATGAGCTAGCGCAGGTAAAACTGTCATTACCAAAACCTCAGTATTGTCAGTGCTTAACAGCACAGAACGATGAGCTGATTCCTGGTCTGCGTCATATACACAGACAAGAGCTGTTAGAAGGGAAAGCCGCAATTTAGGGTTTGGGCAGTCAGAACTGTGCATATTTCTGAGATAAGCTCTGATTAATTGAAAGAAAAACAAGCTCGGGCAAATCAATTTAACTGTGGATATTGCTGACAGGGTACAAACACTTTTTGAATAGTATTCTGTTGATTGTGTGCTAAAATTCCTGTGCTCTATATTGATATTACATTTTATTATGATTCTTTTAATCGAAAAGTCTAAAAAGAATTTTTGTGTCAGGTTTCTTTGAATAAATGAGTCGTATAGGCTCCTGAAGTATTTTAAAATTACTTCACAGTTGTATAAAACTTCTAATGTCAAATTAATTCCAGATCGGGCAATAGTACAGTGTACAGCTCTATCTCCCAATTTTAATGTGGTATTAGGCTGAGTAAACCCTACCCAGTGCCAAGCTGAGTACAGCTGCAGCTTCTTTTTATCCGTTTTTTGAGAATGCCTCAAAACGTGAGCACTGATCCATCCAAAATGGCCTCCAGCGCTGCAACAGTATCTCTGTTGATACTCTGAGACACCACACCAGGCAAAGCTAAGACAACAATGAGCTTATTTTCCTGTGACCTAATTTTACTTTGCTGTGTCACAAAATCAAACATCTAAGAATTTATTACTCTCATAGAAAAGAGAAAAGAGAAAAATGTTTCTTAAAATTTATTTCCTGCCATTCAGCTGCATTTTTACATGGGAAATTAATCGGTGTAAAGATTTTTTTTTCCCTTGGCATCTGTAAAAATCATTTGTGGATTAATTATAACATAAATTAATTAATTAAGTGTAATTCAGGTCGATGGTATTGTAAATCAGTAGTCTGAGGAGGGAAAATCAGTATTCTGTGCAATTTGCATTTAGTAATTAGGTCCTTTTGCCCAGAGTTAACAAAATTTTGTTCT